CTTTACATCGAGCTATGATACAGTCAGTGGAAGATTAATTAAGATCTTCCAGGATCCCTTTAGGTATAGAAGATTGGAGGAGTCTCTCTACTTAATCTTACGAAATTATAAAATAATAACGTCTAGTTGTGGCTGTAGAATTACTTATAAATTATTATATAGGATTGCAACGGTAAAATTGCTCATTTTTCTCCAATTTCGGTACCCCCGAGACCTGGAATTCTAGGCATGTGCTTTACGCGTCTACGAGAAATCCGACACTGAACGTATTGCTATTGTGCTAGAATATGATTATTATGTGTGAAAGAAGACTCCGAACCTCCAGAATGTTACTTTAAACATATTGAAATTTTACAGTTCTTATATAATAATCTTAGTCTGCTGTTCCTGGAGGCCTGAGATCGAATCCAGACAGTCGAAAAACCTCAGGAATTTTTGGATGTGATCTATCCCGGAAGCCCACCAGAGGCCCACCAGATAACTCCACTGGACACTGACTGATACTTGGTCGTGGGTTCGCACCTCACCAAAGGCTGGCCACGTGAAGTTCCGGATTTCCTTCATGTGTTTAACAACTAAACAAGAACCGATTTCCCATAAAAGTCCTCCGGGATGTACTGTCTCCTTGGAAGATCATGTGTGCGTTGCCTTATTCCATTACATCTTACATTCTGTTCTAGATATACTACTGTGAGTATGACCGAACCCTGGAAAAACGGCTCTGTTGGTACCCACAGGGTGGAAAGTGCCAAAAATGAAAACGTACACAATTATGGGGAGAATTCAATCTACATTATTTATTCCTTTTATCTGATTACTTATTGTATATTCAATTGTGACATTTTAGTGACCAGCATAGAATAAAACTCGATAAATGCAAAATTTTTTTGAATATAAATAAAATTTTATTGTCTGTCTGCTAGTTTATCGGTTTGCGATTCTAAAGAACGACTTTGCTGTCGATCCGTTAACATCCTAATATTATTTTTAACTCGTGCTATATCCATTTCAGTTATAAATGAGCATTGAATGCTTGAATAGGTGAATATCACATATGCTTTTTTCACTTGTAACCTCTTATGTTCCAGTTTCTGTTTACATCTTTTTAAACTTTAAATGGAACTTCAAATGAAAGCGGTGAAAAATACTGCACGTGCTATTACTTTTGAATCCCGACATACAGAAAACCGCAATTACGAGTATGGAATATGCAAACCGTTCGAGCATATGTATTTGAATCGATTTGCGTTTGTCGTTGCCACCCATTTGCCAGCTGAGCTTCTTCCCAACGGGATACGGAAATAAAATCAGGCCGCGTGTCCTTATATAACCCAGCCGCTCTGTCTTGTCTTTGATGTTAGCTCATTTTTATTCACTTCCTATTAATCTGCAAACTTTCTTACTTTCCGAATTTTTGTGATGCCAGCTGATTCGTATCAGAAATTTCCATCGTTCTGTTTCAGATCTATATTTTATCGTAAATATATTTTTTGGGAATGTTTTCTTATAAAATGTAAAATTCGGACAGCAACCATTGCAGATGGAGTTATACGATTTTCCATTCTTTTAGGCCATTATCGATGCTTTTGTCGTTTCGGATGTGGCCAATGACGGCGAATTATACCATAACGAATTAAAATGATAGAAAAAATAATTTATTATGTGATTTAAAATATTAATTTAGAATAAAATTACTTTCTTGATTTTTTTTCAATTTTAATTCTCTACCTTGTAGGAACTAAGAGGCCATTTTTTATCATACCCTTTGTTAGTTCAGTCAGATCTACAATGATGAGGGACGGGACCCGGCATATCCGGATCAGACTGCCTCCGAAAAATTCCTTGAGAAATCATTTGCACTATAAGCATTGCTCCTGATGGAAACTAAGGCCCGCCAGTTGCCGAGGGATAAAACTACTGAATACTGGAAGTTGGTCGTAGATTTGCACTAACGGACTATGTGGAGTTTTTCGGATTTTCCTCACGTGTCTAACATGTAAATAGGGCCAGTTTCCATAGAAAGTCCTCCCAGGAGGCAACCCCTTGGCAGATCGTACACATGTCACGTTTTCTTAAACCATAAACCTAATTCAATCCAATGCTTAGCATGTTTATGCCTGTATGACTGTAAATTCAAGTAAATTATGCTTTTCTGTATAAACTACGTAGGTTCGCAATAAAATTGTAAAATAAATTGCAAAAAATATTTGAAAATAAAATAAAATTTGAATTTTTTATTAATTAAAAATAATTAATTATTCTCAAACAATTAACTCTAAAGAATCAAACATCGAGTTTTAAGGCGTTGAAACTTAATTTAAAATATTAATTTTAATTAACTTTTATTCATCATTTTGTGAGTTTTTCATGTTTATAAATTTATGTGAATTTAATACAAATTAGCAACAGTGTTTTCCGTTCATGTATCAAAGGTTTTTTGCCGAATATTTGCAGAATGTGAAAAAATTTTGATGATAATACCGAATGTCTTGGACAAGGGTGCTGTACCTCACCATTTGGCTATCGTTATTATGGACCCACCAGTGGCCGAGTGGATTAAACTAAACACCGATCATGGGTTCGTGCCTCATCGACGGGATGGTTACATGGAGTTTTCCGGGTTTTCTTTGTGTCTAACAACTGAATAAGAGCCGGCTCACATAGAAAGTTTTTCCGGGCGGAATTCACCTCTTGACAGATCATCCATGTGTTGCGACGCCTTATCCCGTTAATCCTACAATCCTATATTAGATTTTTAATAACATGACAGGGTGACCGAGTGGTTAAATATCAGCTTACCGCTATGGAGAATCAGAAACGAAGCTGGGCGGGTCGATAAACTCCAAGAATTTTTCGGGGATGGGCCGTCCCGGATATTTTTGGCACCGTTCCTCATCACTCGGCACTTCTCATTGTGAGCCTAGCTGAACACGATGGTATTGATAAAAAGGTCCTCTAAGTGCCCAAGGGCGAAATGAATTTAAAAAAACAAACTGCCTCGACCATCTGGCCAGCTAATTAATTAATATTTATAAATTTATTGTAATATAAAATTCAATTTATCATATAAATTAAATAACTATTCCAGTGTGAATGTGTAATTTAAAACTTTTAAATTTGATTTCTTATTTGATTTCGATTGAATAGATATAAATTAGGATGAAATATTATATAAAATATTATACTTAATAAGTTTAATAAAATAATTATTATAAAGTCAAAAATCAAATTTTGTTCTATTTTAATAAAATTTAAAGATATATCAACTACCGTATTTTCTCCGTTAAATCCCGGGGGGGGTTATTTCCTTGCAACAGAAGACGATTGGTGGTAAAAACTGAAATACCTTAAGGTTTAGAACTATCAAAACCATTTATTGGCTGTACGTATAGGTTATAGCTACAACATTTGAAATATTTACTCTTTTTATAATTAACCTGATTCTGTTGCTACGTTGTCATTCGTGTTCGATGCCGTTGTCGAAATCAGAATCTTGACTACTACATCCTGGTTCAAACTATCGACTTATGAACTCGATCGCCACTTTCTCATGCTCAATATTCGACAATATTTATAATTTTATTTCCAAAAACGTTTCCGTGCATCTAGGAATAGAATGCACTGTCCAATTCTAGACAATTTAGGGGGTTGAATTTTAATTAAATTTCTTAACTGTTAGGGTATAATAAATATAGTTTAGACTATGTTATGTAAATAAAATACCCTCATTCAAAGCTGCCTAGAGAGATGTTTAGTAGACCAAATGTAACCAAATCTGGTATAATGACATTTTAGGACATTCGGAAAGAATTTCCGTGAAAAGCAATTAGTACCAAAACACTCCACTATGATACTTTTAGCGCTAAAAGCAACGAAAAAGCAGTTTATTTGTGGAAGCACTTAAACAGTGTGGTTTATCGAGATGTTAAAAATTTGGCAGCCTCGAAAGACAGTATTACACTTCATGTGAGAAGCATCACAGAACAGTGGCGTGCCGTGACAATTGATGATAGGGAAGCTGCGTTTCTGTAAGAAGCCGACTTCCAGGGGCAATCAGCCAGCGTTGGTCTAGGGTCAATTCGTATTCGTTTGTTCGATAAGCCAGTAAAAACCGTAGACTTCTCTAAATGTATTTTTAATTAATAGATTATCTAACGCACTTAATTAATAAATAAGCAAGTTTAATATAATTACCTCTGTTATATTAGATTCAATAGATTCCCTATGCCCTCTAAATGCCAATTCTTGCTTCGATAACATCTACTAATTTAGATATAATATATCTATTAGCCGTAACTTTGTTATAATTTTCAATATTTATTTTATATTGTTTACTAATGTTAAATTCTATTCTGTTTTGATTTCCAAATTGCTACAATTTTACGAAAGAATTTATGTGAGTTTTACGACTTTCGTGTCTTTTGCGAGCTTTACTCAAATTATTTAAATCGTCAAAGCTACTCTTATTCCACACACTAATTTCATTTGAAAATAATAGGCAAGGCCAACAAAACAATTTTTGCATTTTTATGCATCCACAAAGCCATTTTACATCTTCATCAATTTTATCGTGAAAATGTCGAGCAAATTTTTTTGTTGATGCATAAAAATGCAAAAATTTTTATGCATCAACAATTTTTATGCATCATAAATAAAAATGATTTTGTCCGCTCACCCCCAAATGATCCCTAGTAATCTATATATCTTCCAGACAAATCTACTGAGCTCTTTAAGGTCGTTTAAGACCATGTTGGGAATTCCTGATATACTGTAAATAATAATTTAAGTAGACAAAACATTGTATGCATGGAATTTTTACATGAATTTTTATTCTTTAATATCTTTAATTGTTTGAAGTTAATTAGATATTTTATCGAAATGTGATTTTTTATTATTGAATTTAATTTTACAACAAATTTAATTCTGTTAAATTTGTTTTAATCACTTAGATAAAATTATTTAATTGCTTATTAATATATATATTTTTTTTTAATTTTCAGTAATCTTCTATTTCTCTACCTGACTTTCCATAAAACAGTAATCTACTTTAATCAAGAAATCTTCAAAATAATATCCTTTCTGGAGCCTGATGTCAAACTTTCTTAATCGTCATCAACTTAAGGTTTACATTAATTCGTAGAAAATAAATTACGCCTAAGTGTTCTAACAGTTTCATCTACAATTAAGAATGATAGAAGTTTTTTGAACGTGAAAATAAAAAAAAATTGAAGTTTTAATCTAAAGAAATGTAGTAAATTCAATATTTCTGATGTTTATTGAAATTTCGAGCAGATGTCAAAGATTCAAAACAAAACAGAAGTCGTTTTAAAAAATAAATGATGTAAAATATTTAAAAATATTAACTCAATTATTGCTCCAGGAACCGTCCATTAATTATGTATACAGTTTTTGACACTTTCTGACTCCTTTCCTCCCAGTTGTGTACAATAGTGTATTTTTTGGCAAGTCCTCTCTACTTCAATTATGTTAACAAATAGCTCACGGACCTCCCTCGTAATTGAACTTTTAAAAACAAATTCGTATGCCACTAACACCACTAAGGAATAACTTCGTAGACAATATTTTGACTTTTTTCCCCATGTTTTACAATAAATGTACTTTTTGCGACCCCTTAAACTATACTTAATTAATGGACTGCGCCCTATCTCTGTCTATGATACAGTTACAAAGTAAGATGTGTATTAAACTCTGTTTTATGTTTGAAGTTGAAGTATGATTTTGTTATGTTGAATTCAAGAAACAATCCAATTCTACTAACTTAAAAGTTTTATCCGTGTTTTCACTCTTATATTATTATGCAGTTGACAATAATTGTTTTCTATTCAATATTTTCTGGAAGTCTATCGAACGATTGGGACGTACAAAATTGGTGCTTATATATATTATCAAGGTACGGGGAAAGATTCAATGAAAAAAATTTAGTTTCGAAACCCGCCGATAGGAAGAAATACGCCGCTGTAAAAGGTAAAATCTCGTGACAAATGAAGTACAGTGAAATGAAAAACGAAGACAAACTAAATATTAATTTTTGCGTTAACACATCAATTGAAACATTATATTAATTACAGTCAAGTATTTTGGAGGAATTGTTTCCACAATTCGATTAATCATTGGTTTCACTCGCGATCAAGTTAACACGATTTGATGAGGCTACTGTTTTTATGGATCAGAAATGCATTCGGTACTGTACATAATGTAAAATTAGAGCGATTACTATATTACACAGTATTTAAATACAAAAATTTACAACTAACGCTAGGTGACGGCGGGATAGCCAAGATGGTTAAGACGTCAGCCCACCGCTCATGGAAATCCGAGAACGAGTGGAAAAACCCCAGAAATTTTTTGAGTGTGAACAGTTCGGATATGTTGGGTCTCGTCCTCATTGCCCGACCATCTTCATTGTCGACTCTATGGATCAGTGTTTTTCAACGGAGGCGATATCTCCCCCATGTGAACGTTTTTCCATGTTGAAGAGGCGATTAGTAACAATTTATATTTTGGGGGCGAAAAACAATTTTCTGGGCGATATAGTAAAACATTATATTAAGAATAATTAGATATTTTATTCGTTATATCGTACAATAATTAAACAAATAACATTATACTAGTCACTAGTCTATTCAATGCAGTACAAATTTGGCGTTAGCCTTGTCCCTCGGCATCGGAATTTTGTAGTGAAGGGGGCGATAAAACGTAACGGTTTTATTGAAGGGGCGACGATTCGTTAGAGGTTGAGAAACACTGCTATAGATTGACTAAAAGGCTCTCTTAGTGCACACAGGGTGGAAAGAGTAAAATATATATAAACGAGTTTTAAATAGTGATGTAACGAATATTCGGTTACTATTCGGTATTCGGCCTATTTTTTGCTATTCGGCCGAATATCGAATATTTAATCACTATTCGGCCGAATACAGAATACCTAAAAACAGGAGTAAGAAATAACAAAAACACAGTAAATTAATCATTTTGGTATTTAGATTTAATGTTATCGGGTTAGCGTTGTTTGTTTATATTTATTTATAACTTATAACATTCACAACATAAAAAAGAAAATGATATTAGTCACATGTATTCACAATTTATAATTACAAAGATCAGCACACGTACTGTACAGTACAGTATACACCTATTCGTTCGAGAATCGTCGCACATCTGAGAGTCTGACCCTGCCTATCCTTCTTTTTAAGCGCTCGTCTTTGCTCTTCCCTTTCTCTTTCCTCCATCTCTCTAGTCCACGTATGCCTATGCATACATCATAATATGCGCTCACGATACTTTCGATTCGTCACTTTTCCGTCGTAGATTTCCCATTTTACAATTACGTGACTCGTAGCCTGGTGATAACGGAGAAAAGAGACAGATAATACATCGGTATAAGTCACAGTTATGATTTCACAGATTCGAAACAGCTTGGTAGCCCGAACGACCCCATGCACGCTAAGTGACTTTCATTACAAGCATTTAGCTTTCCGAAGTCTATGACAACAATTGTTTTGCATTCACGGCCGCGAATTCCGCGCCAATAAGCTGCCTCGACTTATTCGAGGCAGCTTATTGAGTTGATAACATAATCGACTTGTTCGATTATGTTTTCAACTCAATTTCATATTTATTTTCACTTTGCGGTCCTTCTCTGTTCTTCTTCCGTTATTTACAGTGTAGCTCATTTCGTTGTTATTCACATTAGTTATCATCACTTATCACATACTGCCATGACTCTCTTGTCTGAACTGTCAAGAATTAACGCGATTGGCGAAGCGTAGTGACAGTGGGTCAATAGAGAGCAGGGTCCTTGCCACAATGCGGTTTGCGCGCCAATTTTCGTACGTGCGTTAATCAAGCCGAATAGTTTGGCCGAATATTCGGCTATTCTGCCACGCTCCTGGCCGAATATTCGGTATTCGGCCTGAGGCCGAATATACCATGTACTATTCGTTGCAACACACGTTTTAAACGCTTTTATTTAACTTTGTGTCATCCTCAAATGTTGCTGTTTGTATACAGCGACTGGCACACGATCTACCAAGGGAAAGATGATTCCTGGGAGGACTTTCTACGGAAAATTGACCCCTATTTAGGTATGAAGAAAACCCAGAAAACTCCACGTGGTCCGGTGCTAATCCACGACTAGTGTTTAATGGTTTTATCCAGTCGAATTTTGGTGCATATAACAATAAAGAGATTTGCCACGGTCGGAAGGACAAGCCTGTTAGGTGCCAGCCAAGCGCTCTGGAGGATCTGAGATCGAATCCGCCACCCAAGAATTTTCTTTCAGAAGTAAGTCATGGATATATAGGCTCCATTTCTGAGCACCCGGTCGATCCCATTGAGAATCCGACCGAATTTCCAATGGGCGGGTTGGCCAGATGGCCGAACGTTTAAGGTGGCAGCCTATTGTTCTGGAGGACCCGTTCGGTTCGAATCCGGACGGGTCTTAAAATCTTCAGGAATTTTTCAGGGATGGTCCGTTTGGATATGTCGGGTCCCGTCTCTCACCACTCGGCCGCCTCATTGTGGACCTGGCCGAACCCATAATGCGCTTGCTAAAAGAAGTCCTCTTATTGCCCACAGGGTGGAGAGAGTTTAAAAACCACGAATTCCCAAAGGGCATGAAAAAGTCTTGTTAGAACCTACAGGACGGAGAGTCAAAATAAAATGTACGTATCCTTGTCAAAGAAGCTAACACCTTTCCTAACACCCAGAACACTTTTCAAAACGTCTACACTGATTCTTATGTTTTAAATTAGGTTACGTTCGAAATTTAACTCAAGATATTTTATTAATATTGTTTTGTTAAATAATAATTATATTGAATTTTTGTGACGTAAATACAATCAAACCTTAATATGTTAATACGTTATCAGTTTATGCAAAGTATATTTGCTATCCTGTTCACGAGGATAGACATTTCAATGTTAGCGAGTTCCATTAGCAAAAATGCAAAATATCGGTTAATATGTAATATGTACAGTACAATCATAAAGTCTCTCCGCAGTGGGCGGGGAACCAAGTAATGATATCATAGCCCACTAGTGGCCAAGAGGTTCCGTGCCCTGGCCACTGGGAGTTCGGTCGTGGATTCGCGCTGCGCTCGGATGAGCTGGCCACATGGAGTTTTCCGGGTTTTCTCATGACGTGGAGAAAACCCGGAAAACTAAATAAGAGACAGTTTTTCTTAAAAGACCTCCCGGAAGGCATTATTCCCTCGCATTCACATATGGCCAAGCAGACAGGAAAGTTTTGGCCGACTCATCGGACGCATGCGTCCATCATCGTTTCTCGGAGTCATAGCCTCAGGTGCTGCATACTCCATATGAACAGAGTAGATAGATGTCATAGCAGACCGCAGACAGTCGAAATAGTTAAAATAAGTTATGACTTGGGTGAGCACATGGGCGAGGCCCACTGCGCAGGGACTTTAAGATTGCATTGTACGAATGTGTCGTGGTCCCCGTGAATTCAATAACACTTTTATTACATCGTTTCATAGAAAGCGCATTGCTTCCAGTTTTCCCGATCTAAAGTGGAAAAACATAAGACATCGTGATCAGGTACACATTTATCGACTTTAACTTCGGCTACAGCGCTTGTCGTCGTTGGCAATGCAGTTATTGGACATACGGCACACCAACGATGTTCACTCAAACTCACAAAATTATTTTCTATTATAGTCAGAGGCGGCGTAAGGCGTGGGCGACCGCCTACGGCCTCGCGCTTCGGAGGTTTATGCATTACATAAAAGCCGTAAACACAACGAAAAAATTTTACTCGTCATAAAACGATAAATATATTGACATACCAAATTTGTTTTTATTTGTTTAGCAACATTTGCTGGCGTTGGGTTGCTATCGCGGGGAATCCTTGCCAGCCAGAGCTGGGGATTTCCCATTGTGTTTGTTTACGTTACTTTCACGATTCTCAATGGCTTTTCTAGCCATTGAGAATCGTGAAAGTAACGTATCAAATACAATGGGAAATCCCCATCAATACTTTGATACAAAGTATCGCTGTAAAGTATCCCGTAAATAGTGGAGTTAAAACGCAAATATTAAATATTAATCCCAGGACATTTTTTACACTTTGCGGTTGTCATAGCTAGAATCTGCTGTTGGTAGACGCAGCTAATTCTTCTGTGGCAGCAAAAACATTTTTTGGTTTTATTCAGAAAATTTATTTGCTATTTTCAAGTTCCAGCAAACGCTGGGAATTAATCAAAGGCAAATTAAAGCTTACTTTGAAGCCTTTATCAGACATAAGATGAGAAAGCAGAATCGAGGCAGTGAAGGCCGTATTATTTCAATTTGATGTTGAATGCATCGAAAGCTTAAAAAATCAAACGGAACAATCAGACACACTCAGTGATTGTGATTCGGTTTTAAACGAAATACTCAGTTTAGAATTTATCATATCATTACATGTATGGTATGAGTTGTTATCGCGTGTTAATATCATAAGCAAATTATGACAATCTTTACAAGTCCATTTAAGCACGATACATTTGCGTACATTTTGTGATTGGATCAAAAAATATCGACAAACTGGATTCGAAAAATGCTTGTCTGACGCTCGTCAATTTATTGAGAATAGCAGTTATGAATAGCCAAAAGACTTTAAAAACGAAAGGGTAGTCAAAAAGTAAAGGATGTTCGATGATGATGGCAGCGATCA